GGTGTCATACATACATAGGAGAGAAACAGCAACAGCACATACACACGGGGAGTGTGAGTGAGCTGTTTACAGAATCGACTCCCAGGATGGTGGAGGCATGCAGGGCAGCTGAGGCAGGAGGGTGACAGGCAAGTGTGAGCCTAGACTGGACAACGTATCGAGTCCTTATGTCAAAACGCAGAATAAAAAAGGAGCTGGAGATGCAGCTCAGTGTGAAGGCCCTGGGTTCAAAGCCGTGTGCCAAGCTGGGGAAAAAAAAAAAAATTGTGTAGAGCAGCCTGAAGCACTGGGAGAAGCTGAAGTTGCAGCTCACATCCTGTAGGCATCTAGAGGCAGAACCTTTTTTTATATTTGAGTGCTGGGGATTGAACTGAGGGCCTCGTGTGCTAGGCAAGTGCTGCACTTTCAGTTACGCTTGCAGCCATGGAGCACGTGTGTGTATTATACAGCGTTCACGTGCTGAAGTACAGAGACCCCTCCCACCCTTCACCCGTGGTAACATCTTTTGGACTGTACTCTACAAGGCTTTATTTAGGTGGCATTATTGTTTGTGTGCATGTGTATACTTTCATATACTTTCATGTGTGGTTCTATAGACTGTTTGTTTGTTTGCAGTACTGGGGATTGAACGCAGGGTCTTTGCATTTAGCTACATCTTCAACCCTTTTTTAAATTTTGAGACAGTGTCTTCCTTACTTGCCCAGGCTGGGCTTGAATTTGTGATCCTCCTTCCTCAGCCTTCTGAGTAGCTGGCATGACAAGTATGCACCACCACTCTTGGCTTAGTTGTACGTAGTTTTATCATAGGCATGCACATGTACTTTACGCCGTTCTACTGTGGTCAGGATGGAACCCGGGGCCTTGCTTGTGCTGGGCGAGTGCTTTACCAGTGAGCTACACCCCAGCCCCTCAAGCATGCATTTGTATAACCTCTGCCTCAAACAGATATGTATGTGTTTCAACTGGACGGTTTTCTTTGACTTACGTTTTTGGTGCTGGGGATGGAACCCAGGGCCTCAAGGATGCTAAGCATGTGCTCTGGCACTGAGCCCCATCCGTGCACCCATCCCCACAATATTTTTATCCCTTTGAAGTTAAATAGAGAAAGGTATCTTTTTTTTTTTTTTTTTTTTGGTACTGGGGATCGAACTCAAGACCTTGTGCTTGCCAGGCAGGCGCTTATGCCACTGAGCTATATCCCCAGCCCGACAAAGGTATCTTTGTGCCCTTAAGGACCTAGTGTATCAGGATGTCCTTCTGAGAAGGGGCTTGGTCACTCCCGGGCATGAATCCCGAACTGCCGCTTGGATTTTGCCCAGTGCCAGAGAACTGCTGACTGACAGGCGCGGTCTCTATTAAGCGGCGGTGCACTGCCTGGCCTCGCCTTTGTTTTGGAAACTATAGGGCGTCAAAACCAGAATGACTGTTTCCTAGATTTTTCTCCCCAAAACCCAGATGCCCCTCTCAAGTTTTTAAGCAATGCTGAGGATTAAACCCAAGGACTTTTGGGCGAGTGCTTATGTCACAGCTCCGCCCCATTTTTAACCACATTACCTGTATTTACTTAAACTTTACATCAAAATCCTGTTTTGATGATCTTCCTATGAAACCAATAATCTTTTTATTCTTCCTTCCCTTCACACAGGATGAGAAGAGACGAAGAATTACGTCCAGTGAGCCGTAAGAATGGCTTTCTTGTTGTATATGTTGTGTTATTTCAATTATGGGAATCACTTTTTTGGAAAGTTTAAATGGGAAGAGCTTGAGAGAATTCCCCTGGCAACTGCAGAGCTGTTTAAGGATGGGGATTTTGGGGTCAGATTATGAACGTTTGGACTCGGGTCACGTTCTTCTCTATTGCTGAGACAGTTGAGAGTGGCTCCCATTCCCTACAGACCTGGGTTCAAGCATCACACCCCGTGCTCAGGGCTCAGTGAGTGTGTCTCAAGGCTCCTGAGACGAGGGCTGCTTTGGGGCAGGAAGGCAGGGCTCGGGAAGCTGCTACTGGGAGTGACCTGCGTAAGGCCCACGTGAGGTGTGTTTTGTTTTCTTTGGCAGAGTTGCTGGACCTTCTGTGGCAGAGCCGGAAATCAAAACCCCAGGAACTCACACAGACCAGGAGGATGAGAGAGATGAAAGAGTAAAGCTGGTCCCCTCTGCGTTGGTTACTTCCACCCTAATCTGAGTCCCTGTGGCTGCAGGAGTGAGGGCAAGGGGTGGAGAGCTTAGGCACAGATGACTCTCACAGACGATCGAAATGCCTTGAGTTTGGTTTTTTTTTACCCTCTTTTTGAGACAGGGTCTCCCTCTGCGGTTCAGGCTGGCCTCGAGCTCACTTTGTAACCCAGGCTGGCCTCGAACTCACAACGATCCTCCTGCCTCAGGCCTCAGCCTCCCCAGTGCTTGGATTACAGGCATGGGCCGCCACGCCCGGCTCAGTGCCTTGGTTCCGGCTAGCCCACTTTTCAGCTGTACTTTTCTGTGCATGGAAGGCGGGTTCAAGTTTGTCCTGGTGGTCATGAGACCTCGGGATGACCAGACCTTTGCTGCTGAGTCACAGCACTCAGTCTGTCCTCTGCCTTTCTCACTGACCAAAGTCTGTGTGCAGATCTAATTTTCAGACAGGGAGGTGCTGAAATCCTCCGACACCAGCCATGTACGAAGTTGCTTTCTTGACTGGAGATGGAGCTTGGGTAGAGCGCTTGCCTAGTGCACATGGGCCCAGGCTCCCAAGCCCAGCACCGAAAGAGCGTCGGCATTCTCAGGCTGCCCGCTCACACGTAGGCCAGGCCCTTCGGCATCCCTCATGCTGCCCGCTCACACGTAGGCCAGGCCCTTCGGCATCCTTCATGCTGCCCGCTCACACGTAGGCCAGGCCCTTCAGCATCCCTCATGCTGCCTGCTTACATGTAGGCCAGGCCCTTGCTCAACTTGCGGCTCCTCTGAAATAAGGAGTTTCAGCTTCTGTGCAGTGCAGATGTGGGCCTTGTTTTCTTTTTGTTGAATCTTAAGATGTTGTTTAGAGGTTTCTTACAAGCTAGGCACGATGTCACATGTCTGTAAAACCAGCACTCTGGAGGCTGGGGGAGGAGAATTCAGAGTTTGAACCCAGCCTCAGCAACTTAGTGACTTAGCAAGACCCTATGTTCAATTCAAAAAATATATATAAAAGGGCTGGGGAAGTAGCTCAGTGCCAAGGCCCTGGTTTCAATCCCCAGTACCACAGAAGCAAGAAAAGATGCCTCACAAACTCCAGCAGCTGATGAGTGCCTGCCAGAGCTGGTTAAAGGGTAGATTTCTACACCTTGAGCCCAGGCAGGATAATGACGTGGTGACCCTGAACCCATTAGACATTTGAAACTAGTTATGTCTGTTTGTTTGCGGTACCAGGGATCGAACTCACGACTTTGTGCTTGCCAGGCGGGCGCTTATGCCACTGAGTTATATCCCCAGCCCCGAAACTAGTCATGTTTTTGAGACAGGGTCTCACTATGCAGTTCAGGCTGGTCTCAGACTCACAATAATCCTCCTGCCTCAGCCTCCCGAGTGCAGGGATCACAGGTGGGCGCCACCATGCCCAGCTTTGATACTCGTCTTGAGTGACTCTTCCTGCCCTGGTAAGAGCACGCTCTGCAAGTTAATCTCAGGCGGAGCAGCCCAGGGTGCTAGTTGGGCCCCTGGCCTGAGAAGGAGCAGGGCAAGGTTGAGCCCTCCCCACGGTCGCCCCGCAGGGCCGCTACCCGCAACAGGAGTCCTCGAGGTGCCCCTTCACAGCCCAGCCCTGTGGTCTCCTTACAGACTTCCATGCAGGGAGTGCTTTTTCTTTTCTTTTC